CCTTTTGCGTCCGATTCCCTTTTGCGTGCGATTCCCACTTGAGTGCGATTCCCATATGCGTGCGATCTCCCTTTGCGTCCGATTCTTTGTTGCGTGCGATTCCCACTTGCGTGCGATTCCTTTTTGCGTGCGATTCCCACTTGCGTGCGATTCCTATTTGCGAGCGATTCCCCGAGGTTTTTTAGTGGGTTCGAGTCCCACACTACCCTGATCCTTTCTCTGGGATATGGAAATCCCTCAGAAGGGATCAGGGTGTGCGCGGGCATTTTTCCTCGTAAAAAAAAAAAAAAAAAAAATTGCGCGTGTGTTAGTTTCTTGTAAAGGCTGTATAAGTATTTGTGTTGCATAAGCATATGTGCAATACTTGCAAGCATTTTTATGCACGATTGTGTTGGATGCAGTAGGTTTCATTTGGTCGTGCATTATTCGCTTGCGTGCATAAGTAGTACATATATGTACGCTCATGTTTATTTGCGCATTCGTTTTATTGTGTGCGTGAAAGAAGTATCTATTGTAAATGCAGTTTACTTAGGTTGTATAGGTCGGATATGTTACGTGACATATCAGTCACATATTTATGATGAGAAGTTTTGTCTGTTTGCTTTTTTCGTAGCGGTCGAGTTTTCAAATTTTGAAATATCGAGCATACAAAGTTAATAAAGTTCGTGGTTTAAAAGATAGTGATATATGTAATAAAGATACACACATTGGAAATGCAAGGTGAAGTAATATAAATGTTTTTGTACAATAAGACTTGATAACAGTTAGTCTCAAATTTTTTATTGAAAAGTTAAAAAGAAATAGGTAAGGTATTATGTTTGGTGTTTATAAAAATAAAATTTTTGAACATTATGGTATATCGATAAAAAATGATTTTACCTAACACATTAGTTAGTTTGTAAAAGTTACTTGTTCTCGATGTTTTAAATTCTATCAAGCGACAGGTTTGTTTATCCTGTGTGCGTCAAAATTGACGCTTGAATTGCGCCTGAGTTATATAAGAAACTATAATAGTTGTTCCACTTTGTAAGCCAGCGCTATATTCATGGGTGGTGCACAGTGGCAACCACGTAGCCATGTCACGAACGGTTTGTCGATGCGTACATTGTGTGCACGCACGTTTATAGTTCTATTCCGTGCTATGTCCACAGCGTGTGATTCTATTCCATGCTATGTGCACAAATCTCCAAGCAGAGAGAAGACTGAGAGCAGCCAGGCCCACAAGAGAATGTATACTCGTTTTTCCGCCCTTTAATCTCGTGTTGGTTTTCCTCTTCTCTTTGTCACGTGGTGTTTTACTTTAATCACGGTTTTAAAGACACGTGACTGAAAGTACATTTAGTCACATGTTGTTTTTCTACTATCTTAGATAAGAGTGACAACAATCAATATTGGAAGGATCGATTGTGATTATTTACTCACGGTTTTTCGGATAAGATATATAAATTTTAATAAAACAGAAAGTGCAGTTTTCAAAGAACGAAATTCTAAAAGTATGTGAAATATATATGTAAAATTATTATTAAGAAGACGCTTTAGAGGTAGTATTGTCAGAAAAACGATCAGATATATATATAAAAATGGAAAAAAGAAAATATTTTTCTATAGTGATAAAACAAATAAAATTAATCCTACTACACATTGTTTGCGTTATTCAAATCTGATTTTATTTTGTCGTATTATATATATTTGTGTCATACGTACATGAATTAAATATCCGATTAAATTTGTGTGTTTTATGTGCATGTGTGTTGTTTTGTGTAAAATTTAGTGTGTGTTGTATTATATTAAATTCTACTAACAATTTAAAAACGATTTCAAACCTTTATCACATTATCTGTTACATACATGGTGGTAAAGTTTTAACAATTTTAATTGTTTACTTACAATGAGAATACAGCTTTCTGAAAAATTCAGGCTAAGAAAAAATAGGATTTACACTTTTTCGAGAGAGAGAGAGAGAGAGAGAGAAAGAGAGAGAGAGAGAGAGAGAGAGAGAGAGAGAGAGAGAGAGAGCAGAGTGTATATGCAAGTAAACTCTGACAATAGGAAATCAAAAGTAATCATTAGTGAATATTTGTGATACACATGTTTCTTTCACATTGTTATTACAATACTCGTGTTTAAGTACAGTTTGTACTAATGTACCCGCGCGAGATATAAAGGAATATAGATTGTTAGATAAAACATTGAGAGAATCGCGTTTAACGCGCGCCATCTCTTCGAGACAATACAATCCTTGGTCGATTGGGAACAGGCGTTAAATTGCACGGAAAGATTGCACGCAAGAGATTACGATTACATACAGCAAACGACTGTACGTGTATATTAACACACATATAGATGTATTATATATTAAATCACACTAAAACGCTACTGATCATGTTTTGTTTTACTTAAACTTGTTTTACTCGCACTGTTGAGGATCTCTCTTAAACATAAGTAATAGTTGTTTTTTTAATAGCTCTTGTTAGGCACTATGTTTAACTACAAATGTTAAAAATAATTAAAAATAAAAACATCAATAACTATTTATGTTTTATTCTATGTTTTGAGAAAATGCTTGGAAAAAAATCTACAAGCAACAGACGAAGTCATGGATGGTCAAAAAGAGAAAAGGATAGGCGAAAAATTTTATTTACGTCTTAAAGTGAACTTTTGATGCTCTGCACGAAGTTAGAGCTAGCATTTGCGTACACTGAATTTGAAAAACGATTCGAGCTACAGATTTTTTTATCTTCCTGTCATTCTCACAAACCACGTGCGAGATTCAAAACAAACGATAGTTTGTACGTTATTGTGATAATATTTTTCACCAGCAAATTACTGTTTCATGCTTTAAAATTTCAAGATAAAATGTTTTTCTCAAGTTTGTTAGAATCGTGTATGTACGTCGTTACCAAATTTTGATATGCTATTTGGTGATCTGCGTTTACTCTAAAGAGTTGTCCTTTGGTAAAATATACATATTCGCCAGTTCATTTATAACAGCAACGTGAGCATTAATTGCCGGCCTTTAAAAATGTCCTCTCAGTCCTTTCTTTTTTTGATGAGGTATTATTGATGTATCACGTGTCTTCGTGTTAATAATAAGATCACGTAATAGTCGCGAGATCACAACTGTTCGGATTCGAAGGCCACGTTATCGATGCCGTTCATCATCGCGGCCTTCTGCGTGCCCTTCTGCGTGTCCACAATTCGTGTGCTCGACGTCTTGAAACCACCGTGATCTGTCGCGTCCTCGCTCTTGTGATTGATCATAGCTTCGGGTTCCTTTTGTTCCTTCATCATACGATCCTTACGGTGCTCCGTGTACAACCAGCTGAGCAAAAATGTAATTTTTAACATTATATATTCGCACAGTTTTAAGTCGATACCGTAGTATAGGTAAACTTCTCCGTAAACATGTTTGTCTGTTGTTACGAAGATCGACATGAGTTTGTTACGGATAATACTCACAGAAATGCAAATACTGCAGGCATCGTCATGCATCCCCCGGCGATGAAGAATGTTCCCGGGAACGTGTCCATAGTCGCCGCGTAAATGGCGCTGTACATCGGTCCATAAACAAGTGGCATCAGCGACTCGCACACGCCGAACAGCGAGTTGACTTTACCTGCGGAATTGCGTAACGCGTCTTAGTTTTCGGGAAGAGGCAATAAAAATTGCGTTCAAAATTTTCTCGGATCATATTAGTCCGGACAGGAAAGATCTTGTTAAACCTCGCTTGTGCTGAGGGAAAAATTAGCCACGTCGTCATTGCCACGTAAATGTAATTTGGTGTCTAAATTATGTGATTTGCACGAATCGCGAGATTAAATCGAAAACACTACTAAGTGGTACTGAAATATTAGTACAATAGTCGTAATTTTTTTTTTTTTTTTTTTGTTAAGCTCATTCTCTTTAAATAGACTGACTACGTCAGTCAATTTTACTTCTATTTATTCGTTTAGTTTTTAAACTGTTTAATATGTTTTTTATTTTGTATCTTGTTATATAATTATAATAGCAATATGTTCGACATTATAATATTTACATAATATTTTGAAATAGCGTTTTTTTACCGAGTTCTTCCGTAGGCACGAGCTTGGAAGCTATCGAACGCATGGCGATGAAAGAAGTACCGTTCACGATCTCCACAATGGCGGCTGAAACGCGCGTTAAAACGTTAGAGACACTCGGAATTGTGATTGTACGCGATTGTACATTTTAATATATGTAGTTGTTAGCCGTTTTTTTTAAAAAAGACTGACCTACGTAGACCATCCAGGCGGATGTGGCGAACGCGTAGACGAAACCTGCTAAAATTTTGCTTATGCAGCTCATGATACCCACGATGGCGTCGTCTATCTTGAGTATGTGGCTGAAGATACCGACGGAGATCGCGGTTCCTGCGCATTTGAAAGAAACACCTCCGAGTTGTGTTTTTTTTTTTTTTTTTTTTTGCAAAACAATCGTTAGAAATAACGATTTTAGTGAAAGGAAAGCGAACAAAAAAATGGCAATGTGAATTACAGTAATCCGCTAAGTTGAAAACAAACGTGAATAAATGGAAGAGAAACTGGATCTGTGCGCTGAATTTGCGAGTGAAACTGGATTTGCGATAAAAGTCGCGATTCATCGACAAGTAGAAAGTTTTTGGCAAATTGAAAGTTCATGGCAATCGTGCTGAACATCATAAATATTATCAAATCATTTCCATTCGATTATTGCAAAACAACTGCGCCGCGACAGATTTTTAATTCTTACGCGAGACAAAGTCTTATTTACTTTTATTTAGCTTCTCTTTTCTTTTATTTTATTTTTATGAAAATGTTTTTCTTATATTTTATAAATGTTTTTTTTTCTTATTTACTTAAGTGTTGTAAGCGATTGTAAAAGATTATTTCTCAAGGCAAATTCTTCCCTTCACAATCCGTCGAGATAAAGTCGATGATTCCGCGCTTAGCAACGATCGTTATTTATTTTCTTACGTAAGACGCATCATTCGTTTGCTTTCATCGATCCATGAACACAAAAAAGGCTTGAGGTAATAATAAACGTGATTATAAGAATAGATCTAACAGTTATCTACGGCAACTCGGTTGCAAGACGTGTAATCTTCTTCGAACGATTATTTACATATCTTCGCGCAAAGCTTGTGGCTTGTGTGACACGTATTCAAAATATCGGTAAACTTGATGAAAGGTAAACTTAATGAAAAATCAAAGGAGGTGATTTTTTCTTTAATGCTCTGACTTGCACAACCTACGTTTTTTTATTTGAGACAATCGTCTTACCGATCAGATTAGTTACCATGCCAAACGTGGAGAACATGCTGAACGTCACTTCGTTCCAGTTGTATCGGTACCTCATGTAAAGATAGAGAACCGCCATTTCGCCTGCAAAAAAAAAGACATATTACCTTGATATAACAACGTTTTTATTAAATGCATAATAATTCCTACATTTCTTGGTTGAGAATTATCACGTAATGGCCATATCATTTGATGCGTATTAATAAAAATCTATAATCGACTTACGTAAATTTCGCGCGATTAAGCAATTTAAATTCTAATGACGTTTATATTTAAGTATTCGTTATTGTGAATTAATTTTCTACTGACATACTTATCTAAAATTACTTCTTGGAATTCGGATTTTTCCCGGGTATGTAATCGCGCGCGCCCGTCATCTATCGCACACGTGTTTAATTCGTTTGATGCGAGTTGTGTTCATTTGTCAATTGAGTAACTGCGCACAATATTCTTCAAAAAGAAATTTAAGAGCTTGACATTAGAACTGATTATTTGAGAGCTAAAACATTAAATTTCCGTCTCTTGAAAATCTTAAAAATTAAATACAACACAAACAGTTTGACCTTTAAAAATTAAATTTAATTTGACATTTGCAATATAGATTTTATCGTTTAACGATAATATTTAAATAGTTGTCGGCAATAAAATATCGTAGAAGCCTGACTGTAGCAATATTTTACGAATTCACCCGAGCGCAACGGTTTTCTTTTCAATTACAAACGATTTTCAAACGATTACATCGGCAGCAATTAGACCAACAATTGCTTCCTGCAGTAATACCAAGTTAACTACGAAGGTCAAATGCAACGTGAGTATTATGTAAAACGATGATCTTTTGCAAAACTAAAAACATATTCGATCGAGATATGCACCTCGAGATATAGCGGTGATTATCTAAAATTTATACGTTTGAATGTCATTTCAAGAAACTCTTTTCGAGAAATAATTAAAAATTTATGTGTACACGGAAAAAACAGTTTTGCTATTAATATAAGCAAGAAAAATCTTTGAATCTACGGAAGTTTTTTGTTTCGTCAACAAAATATTTTGTTGGAAAAACAAAAATCTTATATAATAAACTTAGCAAATGGTTTTTGCTGACCATATGGCAACTAATTTTTTTGCTATTCTAGCAAATCTGTTTTTCTTCGTGTATGCATTCTTTTTTTTTTTCTTAAAGATTTCACTGAAACAGTGTTTGCACAATTTTAACGTAATTAGCGGGATTAGATTAACATCGCATGAATCCGCAGACTTTGTAATTCATCCCGTTAATATTCGTTGCGTGTTTCTCGCAATATGACGCGATATTGTCGACGCGGTGCCGCGTATACAAGATTTATAATGAAAACATACAACACACAGTCGTACTTTCACCGCGTGATTTTCAGACGAGTAGAGATCTGAAATTACATCGGCGGTATATAATCCGCCTAGCGTATAGTCCGCCGTTACAGAATCACATTAGCATATTATACTGGATGGATATTGTGTGCAACTTGACAATAAGTGCGCGATTTTGCGAGCGCGCTTGTTGTTGCGTTTGTGTTCGCGGATTTATATCTAACATGTAATCTCTCGGAAAATATTTCGCGAACATTGATGCTACATGAAGTAGCACGTCGTTAAACAATGTTACATGGACAAAATGATGAAGAATAAAAATAATTTATTTAACAAAATTTTTATACAGCCATTTAGCGCGCGATTATTTCAAAAAGTTTGTATTGAAACTAACGCTGAGACAAATGCACATTATGTACATTTACGTGCAATTTTTATCCCTTTGTTCTTCTGATAAGTCGCAAGTTTATTGCACTCGCGATCTATCTCATGTAGACGCTATCCGTTGTTTCTTCATTAATATATGTCGATAGTTTTATCGATTTCTATCTTGTCAATTTAGTATTTTATCCATGGTGTCGATATTTTTAGATATCTTTAGATATATATTTTTAGAAAGGAAAATTTTTAAGAGAATAACAATATCTTTCTCTCTTAGTTACATTAAAGAAAAACATAGTACACTAATTAAAACTTTTCTCATTTGACGTGTCTTTGAGTCTATCGTTGTGTTTGTTTCGAAACATTGAATCCTCTCAAGAGTGTTGTACCAATGACCGACAGTGATCTTATCTCCGATCTCAAAAATAGCTCACCCGGATAAGAGCGTTAATTACATTATTCTTTTGAGACATGGTCTCGGCGACGACGACGACGACGACGACAATGAGAGAGAAAAGCAACATCTTTTACAGTGTTGTACAGGTATATCCGCGTTAAGGCATTCGAAATCAGGAAGACGTCCATTACACGGAATTGTTATAAACGTGACGAGAGCCGCGTCACTTAGCAGCTGGGATATAATACGTACTAATACGAGTACCGAGACATTGTAACGACGGGGCTACCTATATAATTAAATTGTGACAAGGGCATTCGCGAAATGTGCTGAAATTGTGCTTCGTCGCCGTACGAACGCGCACGATCGCATTAAAGTCGCGAGATAGCCGAGCTGTAACAAATGCACGCTAATTGAAAAATTGAATGATTCGAGTGGTCGCGTGCTTCGACAAGAGCCTACCAGCTGTGGTACATCGAGATCGACTGTGCATTGTTGCCGGTACCGTTCGCATGTACTACAGTACGACAGTACTTGAATGCTTACGGATATTCTATCTTGTCAATACATTGATTTACAACTTTTTTATCTCTATCTCAGATTTTTGCCTCGGCATGTCCTTTCTAATGTACGTAAAAAGCCGTAAAACCAGCTTTTGCACGATTGCCCGGAGATCGGAAGCTAAAGACTTTACGAGAACCTTTATGTAAGGGGGCACAACGAATGTAATTATTTGTCACTTTTTTCTTTTCTCATTATTCTTGCGAGATTTGTGACAATTGTGCGCGGTATTGTTTATTTTTCTTTTCGAAATAATTTTATATTTTATATTTTTTTTTTGCGAAAATAATATTTGTGCGTATTCAGCGGCGTTTAAAAATACGCGAAGCATTTGCGAAGGAAGGTGCGCAAGGCAGCGCGCCGCTCGTACGTATAACGTATGTATCTCTAGCTTTGCATACACGTCTTCTCTTACTTTCCCCTCGCGTACGATATATTCACAGTGTCGGACGTAAGTAATTACCTATGGGAATGCGCACAGTTACTGCAACGCGAGTGGCGAGATTAACGAGAGTTGCGACGAGTTTTTACCGCGTCGCGGATGCACGCGGAAAATGATAGACGTGGGTATTTTATTTTCAACAAACGGCAACACATACCGTTTAATCGGTCTCTTTTTAACTCAATTGAAGAGAAGATATTTTTATTGCATCGTTTGCATTTTAGAATCTGAAATCGCTTTACATGTTTTTTTTTTGCGGACTTTAAACTGTGTAAAATGTTAAATAATTGCGGTATTAATTCAAAGCATTGATCACTCGATAAGCATCTCGCGAGAAGATTAGAATTCAAAATGACTCATTGGCATTTGTTTTTATTACGCTACGATGTTCTACAATGTTGTCGTTTACCTATGATTTAAGTGTTCCAATAACTTATAGATTCTTCGAAATAATTAAAGGAAGATAAAAAACAATTAATCCGAATGAAAATTATTCCAAATAAATATTAATGACAAAATGACGCAACTGAATTGGTTATTGTTAAGATACAACATATGGTAAAAAGTAGCACAAATTATTCATGGAAATAATCATAGATAAAAACGAACATTTGTAATGAAATATAGAGTATTCACATTTACTTTAAAGTTTTTGTGTATATAATACTTTTATTTTAAAATATCGTACATATAAATTGCTTTCTTTTTTTTTTTGCTTAAATAATTTTACATTTTCACGTTAAATGCAACAGACACAAAACATCGAAAATAACGAAAACGGTCTAAAAGAATTTATTCGTTCAAAAACAACTCACCGTAAAGAGGCCCGATGACCACCATGACAACGACCATGAGCACGATAACTCTTTTCCGACGATTGTTCGCCCCTTTCTTGAAAGCCACGCGAAACGTCTCTTCGATGTGCCTCAACGAGAAGAAGTCCAGAATGAAGGCGCACACCGACATTCGCTTGTCCTCGCTCGGGAGGGATTTTTTTCGCGCGCGTTCCGCGAACACCCTCGGCGGTTCCTTAATCACCACTAAGCCGTACACGAAGCTCATTACATAGCACACCATCGAGATACTGAAAACACCGTAAAAACCTAGTTTGGTGTACAATATCCCGGAGAGGGCCATGCCGATCGGCACGCCAAGAGATAGAAAGACATTGGCCGCGCCGATCCTGAGCGTCCTCGACTCCACGGACGTGATATCCGCGATGTAGCTAAAGATTCCCATAAACATCGTGAACCAACCGCCTGTCAACGCCGGCCACAACGCCTCCAGCACGACCGCTTCCATCGGCAGTTCGTAGAACCAGTAGGTACACGCGATCAGGGTGACGCTGCTGAAGAACTCGCCGATGATCGGCAGCAGCATGCACGGTTTCCTCAAGCCGGTGCGGTCGCTCCACGCGCCCATGAAAAGAATCAGGATGGTCGGCAGGGCGCTCTGCAGCGGCGTCTTCCAAGTTTGCATCCGCGCCACCAGTTGCTGCACCGCTGTCTCCTCGGCTTCCAATCCTGTTGTGTTTCTGGCGGACAGGGACGAGCACACGTCGTCCGAATATGCCAGGTTCACCCGGCACGCCTTCTCCAGAATGAGATTCTGCACGGCCAGCGACGAGAGCACGCTGGGGATCACGTAGCACGCGACCATCGGCTCAACGGTGATGTTGCTCGTGAGGAAGGACCATTTCTGCCGAATGCTCATGGACTTCCAGGTGACCGCACTGTCAGACTTGTCGCTCATGGAGTTCGGTTGCTTCTTCTCGGGATTCTCCTTGGCAAGCCCCGATCCGGGCGCGCCGATCGTCGTTGTGATCTCGGACATGTCTCTCGTGAAGAAAAGGGATCACAATAAGCACAAAACAGAGACTGGAGTCATGTGAAGTTTTCGGACTGTCCAAGCGTACGATCGACTCGGGATCATTAAGCAATCGTCGAAGAAGACCTCCACATAGGTGACTTCTGGCTTTTTGGTTTTCCGTTGGGCGCGCGCGAAAGAAATCGCACGGTGATCCCGCGGCTCCCGGCTAATGCACCATCGTGCATCACGACGCTGTCTGTCTCCTTCGTCCACCGGTCACCGGCCAGCAGCAGCGTGTACCACCTCTTCTCTCCCCGATCAAAAACTGCAGCTCGCTCTCGTACACGGTCCAGCCTTCGGCGCCGCTTCTGTGGCGCGCGCTAGCCGATCCGTCTTCGTGCACATCTACTTAGGCACTAAGCACCAGGCACGCGGTGCTCCGTGTCGGGCCAACTTTGTTCGTTAATCCACGACGATCTGTCGCGGCACACACGCGGCTGATGCCACCACCGCCGCCTGCGGAGTCACTTCCGATTCCGCCCCACAGCAGTTTTCGGGTCAAGGTCAGTCAGTCCGCGACGACGTCGGTGCTCGCGCTACTGTCCGAGGCTATCAGAAATCGGTCTGCCCGCCGCACCTTTTATTCCTCCTCAACGTTCGCCTGACGATTCGTCGTCATCCTCGTTGTTTTCTTTTTTTTCTGACGCGTGAGGAGCATTACGATTACAGTTGTGATTGCAATTATGATCTCGACATGCAGATGTCTTCCGCGATGACCAATCATCATCACGATCGTTCTTCGTGGCGTATCTTCACGGAAGTTTGCCTCCGATAAACGTCGCGCATTACATAAGGCCCAGCATCGGTGACATGTTGACAAACGGACGGCGAGTGATGATTATCATGTTCATCTTTCTGTCGAGAGAATACTTGTTCTTGCGTCGGCGAATGATGATCTTCTTCGGCTTCATGTTCACGATTCGACGGTACATTTTCGCCAACTTCACGCGCGCGTTAGGTCAAGGACTAGAAAGCGCGTTGTTGATCACAACACGATCTTCGAAGTTCAAAGGTATTTCTCGCGAACGAGGTGGGAATGTTTAGGATGCAATCAGCGCTGGCTCTCGCTAGGACCACTCGCTACGCAAACCGTACGATTACCTTGTGAAATCTGTTGCATAAGATTTCTTTCACTGAAAGATCCATCCAAGTTGATTGATCGCGCAGCCTTCGAATCGTCCTCGACACGTTCCGCTTGTTGCGAAGATTCTTCCTCTCACATCAGATAGCGCACGCAGGCTTGCTAATCCTCTGTTATCCGACCGTTTCCTCGGATAACTTCGGACAGTCGCGCGAAAATGATCATTTTTTTTCTTAAAGGCCACGTGCTTTTTTTTCAATGAGAGAGAGAGATAGATAGATAGATAAATAGATAGATAGATAGATAGATAGAAAGAGAGAGAGAGAGAGAGAGAGATTTGTTTCGAGAAAGCGCGAATCCGGTTGCAGCGACGAGACCGCTATGGTGTCCGATGTCGAACGGATGGCAACTGAGCGTAAACAGGGAGCGTCGTTGAATCGCTGCCGCGCGTAACTCGACGAGGCGCTGTTAAATGTGACAATTCGTTGATAAAGTAATCACTACGACGCACGGTCCCAACAGTCAGAGCCTATTTTAGACAGGGCCGTCCACCCAAGTGCCATATTATATCTACGGTGAATTCGAAGCTGTTCGCGCATCATCTCTCGTGACGCTCCCGGTTGCGACATGTAGCATATTTCTCGCTCGCGTCGAGACTCGCGCGTGACGTTGCTTCGCGATTTTTCTCGTCTCTTCGGCGTCCCGTTAAATCGTCGTCTCTCCCGTCGAGTCGTTTCTCGCGAAATTGTTTCTCCGCCTCAATTTGTCGGATCTGCCTGTTTTTCGCGATCGCGTTTTCCGTGATTGGAAAAATCGAACCGACGAGTTCTCGAGAGGACGCGAGGAAAACGGCGATATCGGCGAAAATCCGCAAGGTCGCGGTTTAGGGACGAAAGGCAGCCTAGAGGCGGCCCTGGCTCTTAAGTCTGACGTATAACGCTGTCAAGTGAGTAATGCTCGCAATTCCACAACGATACTTATAAAATATTCGATGCAGAGCTGTCACCGGCACTTCTGTCTTGATGTTCGAGCGGCGAGGGTGCGTCGCCGCTGATCGTCATTGTTGAAGAGCCATTCTCTTTCGCCTAGTCATGGTGGCCGCGGCGGCCCGCGAGAGATGTACGATTTTTTTTTTTTTCTGAGAATCATCCGCGTTATTCGCGTTTCGACGATCGACAGGCATCTACGGTAATGCATCGCGTAATAACCTGTCACTACTATACCACCAAAAGTATTTTATTCTCGCTCCGTTGAACCGGTACACGTGGATTTCCAACAATAACCATGAGGCTAGCTTACGATTCCGGATTCCGCGTTCGGCGCATAAGATAACTTTCGATTTTTTTTCCCGACTATCGAATTAAGTGGGCAGAAACGATTTCTCCTGTGCGCGCTTTTTTTTCGGCGCATTATTGATGCGTGATGTGGCTTTTAGGTCATTATGCTCGTTTTGTTTATTTCGCGCTCGCCTTGCGGACGAACTTTCACTAATCACTTATCAATGACAGTTGGACTGAGGTATATCTAGTCTAGTAATAATGTATGTTCTATATAGATAAGAATTCAAAACAAAATATTTATCTTACATGGTTCAATTACAATATATTTTTTGCTTCTTATATATCTATACGTATCTATATGTAGTATCTAAGAGAAATATTTTGTTTTATTTCGATTGAGAAAGAAGTAAAAGAGAAAGGAATATCAGAGTAATTTATGTATGCAACGATTGTAGCATATATAATAATTGTTTTATTTTGTTTTCGTTTCTTATATAATATTTTGAAAGATAAAAATTACTCGTATTCGCAGAAAAATTAATGTCACAGAATCGATTATAATAATTTATTTATGTGTACTGTTAAATATGATGATATTTATACGAATTTATTGAACATGGACTTGACGCAAATTGAGGTTTTGCTCAATCGACACAGTGATTATTCGTGTTTTCTCGATTTATTTCTCTGACTTCTTAAAAAAATAGAGCATAATTTTCCAGTTTTGCAGTTCTTTATGCTTCAGCAGCTTGTTTGGAGGTTGTTGTATGCTATTCAATTAGATTTGACCGTGAAATGCGTATGAAATTGCGTGTTACATCGTGCATCTTCAATCGAGTTAATGTATGACGAGCACTTCGTAATCCTTGAACGATAACTCTTCGCCATCAAACGGAATGTACAGACATCCGTGGCTTTGTTGTACCTAAAATTATTTTAAATATTCTATGTAGAGCTACAGCTTACTCTGTAAAGTTGCTTCCTGTACAAAAAAGAACGACGAGAAAATAGCGCGAAAATCAATTCCACGCACGCAAGATGCAGAAAAATACAAAAGAATTGTTAAAATCCAAAATTTAAAAGATGCGTGTTTTGTCGATAGCATTTTACACTTCAACGAGTTATTTGTACACCTGAACTATCCCTAAAACTAAGTAATTACCAAAAAGACCGACCTTGCCAATTGTTTGAGCTCCACTATGGAGGACACGGCCGACGTACAGAGGTTCTCCGTCTGTGGTTTGACCGCCGATTACCGCATCCGCTGGCACCTCACCGTTGCTGCAGAACTGCCATGCAACTTCGCTTTGACAGAGGATCTGCAATTATTGCAATATTAAAATTAGCAGGGCTTACTTACAAGAATAATTTCCGTATAATTTTCATAATTATACAGCTTAATTGCTTAAATGTATACACAAATGAATAATTGCTTATTCGTTATTTCTGATAAGACAAAAATTAATGTTAAATCAATTTAATGTTTGTTATCTTTCGGAAGTCTTTGAAGAATCGAAACCAATTTAAAGACCACCTTTGAAGAAAAAACTCATACCTCGAGATCTTTACTTCGATCTATTGATATGATTAATCTTAACAAAAGTTTTGCACTTTGAACATCTTCAACTTTTGGTGCGCATTATGTAACTTGAAATTTTTTTTGATCACTTGAAAAGATTAGAGAAAATTACTGATAACGCTTGAGCAGGTTCGAGTAAATTAGTCGGTAAAAACTTTACGTCGACGAATTGTCATGTAAAGTAACATATAACATTCCCAAGCGGGATAAATTAACGTTATTGTTATTTTTTGTAATGTCACGAAGAGTGACATAACGTTTCTGAGCGAGATAAATTGTTGTTACTTGTGTAACTCTGCACATTTTTATTACTTATTTTTGTATTCACCTCAAATTCGTCTTTCGGATGTTCCTCGCCGTTATGACAAACATAAGCGACGTTCTTGTCGGGAATCACTTTTGCCGGCAACATATCACCTTCGTGGTAAGCTCGGCCGACGTAAATTGTGCTTCCATCAGAATCGCGGCCGCCGACAACCGCATTTTGTGGCAGCGACTGACTACCGGTACGATTTACCCACCTATAACCTGTAACAATGAAAAACTCGTAGTGTAACAGTTAAAAACATTGACGTTAAGTAAATAAAGAAAAAATAATTAAACATCTATATCCAAATGTTTTATTAAATCAGATCGACTAACTGTACGTGTAAGAAGTTTAGAAGAAGTACGTGTTGAGAAGAAGTTAAGATAAGAAAACAAAAATGTGTCATTTTTATTTACATTATATAAATTAATATCGACAGAGCTTTTATATATATTTTTCTTTTACATTAAAGACTATTAAAATGTTAGCTTAGAATTAAAACTGACGCACGACTCTTATTTCACATAATATTATACATACTAAGAACATTTGGCGCACGAACAAGTGATGTATATTTAACAAACGTGCATTACGTAACGTTCAAAGATAACAAAACTGAGGTATGTTTCGTAGCAATCAATATGATAAGACTCTTCAGGTCTTCGTAATCGATGATTTCATCTTTTATACACGTCTATATTTGTCTTTATAGCTCGTACGACACGTATGCTCCAACCAAAGCAATTAGCATGATACATCGTTTAAACTAGAGCAAATGAAAATTGTTGAATTGAAATTGATGAAGAAAACAAGAATGAAAAACATTATTAGGTAATTATTTGATGTACGACACACCCACGCACGTCAGTCTGTACAGTACATAATGAAATTAGTGTAAGTATATCTTATGTAAGTATGTCACATAATTGTGTGCACAAAAGAGAACTTAAATATATAATAATAGCGTGTTAGAGAGAGAGAGAAACAGAGACGTGAAGAATTAAGAAAAAAACTTGAATTCTATAAACACATTTGTTTATTTATACTATTTATTAATTAAAAAGACATACACTTAAAATGTTTTAAGACTAAATGTATTAAATATGTTAAATACGCGATGTGACAGTTCAAAATCGTATTGTAACTGTAGATATTCGTATAATAGCAAATATCGACAGCATATTGTTTACCAAACAAATAAGAGAATAGAATATAAATTTTGCGAGAGTTCAATGTTCCTTATATCTAATCCTATATCCTATATCCTTATTCTAACACGCGCGCATATGCACTTTATAGAGAGAGGTAGAGATTTTCACTCACCTGGCATTATGGAGATCGATCCGACACGGCTGAAGCCTCAATACGAGATGATGCTTATCATATCTGAACGCTGAGTTAAAAACCTCGTGTAATCTTATCGCTCTAACGCAATCTTATTTGCCAAAAGTCTTGTTCCTCTTCTTTTTCTTTTTGTCTCTCTTTTTCCGCCAATGCGATGACATACTGTTTGCTTGAAACGTAGTTAATAATATGATTTATATACTGTATTTTTTCCATCGCTCCAGATATTAGATATCGATTTATAGAACTTATCTGTTTACGAATACAGTCACCACTTTATCGATTTCTACACATTTAATACAAAATTCTATGTAATTTTATTTTATATGTTAAAAAAATGAATAAAAAATAGATGAAATATGTACAAGTGATAAAAAATGTTTACAATAGAGATTTCCGGTTTTTTTTTATAACAAATCTAATATATTTCATCGTGTACTAGCTATTGACATGTAAGTTTATGGAGCAAGAAGAGGTAAGAAGAGGTAAGAGATTGAATTCTATTAAATTAGAATTAAATTTCATTAAATTAATTAAGAAAAGTGAAAGTGGATTAGTTGAATTAATTTTATAAATGTATATTCTCTGGTAATCTAGCACAAGCAGCTCAGCTACGTAAGACTATTCCGTCTTTTTCCTCATCTTGTCAATATCGCTTTTTCACTTTTTTTTTTTGCCACTTAGACGACGGAAATATTGTTAATCTTCATTACATCATAAAATACGGACTTGCGGTTCATTGGTTCATATAGTCAAAGGTTTTAGATAAGTGAAGAGTGGTGACATTGCCGATGTGCACGTTAACTTGAGGTTTCTCATGAATATCTTTCAGAGGTCGCAGATAGTAGACGCAAATAGTCTCACGTGGAGTGTAGTAGAGTATGGTGAAGGAAATAAACAGTTTATACGATCATATTTTGCGTATTTTATTAAAAAGACACACGTAATTTTAAAATGAAAGTTAAAATCTTAAGTAGAAATCCGGACACATATTTACGAGAAACTAAACGGGATATTCACAAACGTAAGTTAGATCACGAGGCTGTCCTTAGGTAACCTATGTGTGTGCGATAAATAATTGAAAAGCTTGGAAGAAGTGGACCTTGTGCTCGCAAAAATCGGTTTGACGGTTGATACGTTAAAAACAATTACATAAAAAAAAATTAAGTAATTAAAAACTTTTGTTATTTGCAGTTCCTAGAAATTATGATCCCATTCTACATCCCTTCCAAGCTGCGCGAGAGTACACGCAGGCATTGAACGCCGTTAAATTGGAGAGAGTCTTTGCAAAACCGTTTGTTAAAAGTTTAGATGGTCACAAGGATTCAATAAACTGCATGTGTAAACATCCTTCTGAGTTGTCTGCTCTTGTAAGTGGTTCCTATGATGGTGAAGTAAGAATATGGAATCTTACTACGGGAGCGTGCGAACGTACAATTCTAGCTCACGATGGCATTACTCGTGGCATTATTTATGTGCCAAATGGAGAACAGTTAATTACTATTGGAGATGACAAAACAATTAAGACATGGAATGCTGTTACTGCTAGTGAAAATGAAGAACCCATAAATACCATTGTCAGCAAAGTAAGCAATGTTTTGTTTTTGTTTTCTTTTTTTCTATAAGGTGTGATTTTGAGAATATTTACATACATATACAAAATCAATTTCTTTAAAACTAATTATTACTACATTGATTTACAGACCATGTTGACTGGTATAACACATCATCAGTTTAATCCAATATTTGTTACCTGTGGGGAAGTGTGTCATATGTGGGAAGAGACTCGTAATGAGCCAGTTCGTACATTTAAATGGGGTGTAGATAGTTTGTACGATGTAAAGTTCAATCCTGTACAATCAAATCTTCTAGGTATTATGTAATACGGATTACAATTTTGCTTTACGTTATTTAGGTATAAGAGTCTAGAGCAAGGTCTTATTAAAAACATTGATTTTTATTTTTAGCTTCTTGTGCGAGCGATCGCAGCATAATTTTGTACGATACCAGAGACACAGGTCCCTTGAAAAGAATAATTATGAAATTAAGGAGCAACAAACTCTCTTGGAACCCGATGGAAGCTGTGACTTTCACATGCGCTAATGAAGATTACAAGTGAGAGAAGATAAATTATAGTGATAATTGTTCATAGAAGTTTCGCAGAAATTTCACGAATTTCTGTGTTACGAATTTCAGTTTGTACACCTACGACATTCGAAAGTTGAAAACTCCAGTGAATGTACATGTGGATCATGTAGGGGCTGTAATAGATGTGGATTACGCTCCGACAGGAAAGGAATTTGTCTCGGGCAGTTATGACAAATCGATTCGTATCTTCGAGGTCAATAAAGGCCATTCGCGAGAAGTGTACCACACAAAACGCATGCAGAGACTCACCTGCATAGCCTGGTCGTTCGATAACAAATACATAATTAGCGGTAGTGACGAAATGAATCTTCGCGTGTGGAAGGCCAAAGCATCGGAAAAGCTGGGTATTGTAAGTAAAACATCACGGAACATACAAGAATATTAACTTTGTGTAAATAAAATAATAATATTTTTGTTTTGTTTTGTTTTTTTTTTTACAGTTGAGACCTAGGGAACGAAACGCTCGTCTTTACAATGAAGCGCTGAAACAAAAGTTTGCGGCCAATAAGGAAATTCGTCGAATTGCGCGCCACCGACAAGTGCCGAAACATATCTACAACGCGCGAAATGAATTACGATCGATCCGAGAGAAAGCGTTACGCAAGTACGTACCGAATTCACAAATATTCACGAATTTTATCAATCCTGTGAACAGGACTGCAATCTTAACAACAATATTGTTTTGTCTTTTCCAGGGAAGCCAATAGGCGTTATCATTCCAAGAAGGGGGCCGTGCCGTACGTGGCGGAAAGACAAAAGCACGTTGTGTCTCAGGAGTAAAAGAAGAAATTTCATATTATATATATATACATGTATATATATATATATTTATTGTAATAAATAATTTCTCTTGTGACATTATACAACGCATCACGAATAAATTCATAAAACATTACAAACCTCAAGCAGTGAATAATGTCATGCGTAAGCGTACCTTACAACAGTTAATATGCTGCGTTTCTCGCGCGATTACTTCAGCACGCATTAGTCGGTTTCGTAATACAAATATGTTTCTTCACTTTTTTCTCTGTCTTTGTCTCGGTAATATTTTAACTTCGTGTAAATCCGAAAGATCTATTAAAATTCTTGTGTACGATCTGATTGGTCGCAGGATTATTTAAGAAATATAAAACATTTCTTAAATTTTTAATATTTTCATACGGTGAAATTTTTTTCTCTTCGTGTAAGTTTTTGAAAATAATTCATACGTGTCATAGATTCAAAAAGCTTCAACAAAAAAATATTCTTTTATTATTATTATTATTATTATTATAATGACTTAGCAATTCGCGTTATTAAAGCGTTCGATGGAGACACATTGCAGAAAGTAGCAGAAAGTCGCAGAAGAAGAGATTCATATTCGCACAAATCTATTATACATATCATACATACGATTTTGATGCGCCATATGCATCTTTCTGAGCTTTCTCCCGATCCCAATGTGTCATTAGATATATTATAAATCTGAATACAAATCTCATCGTTCTTGATGGAGTTACATTTATCTGTCTCTCGTCTAGAGGGGATTGAAACTGTTATCACTTCAGAGAATGTAAAATCCGATGCTACGAATACGGAAAAAAAATATATCTCGCTGCCGCATTTATCTTTTTTTCGCATCTATAGCATTAAAATATACGATCGCTGTAGTTTTAATCTCTTTTCTTTTCTGTATATGAATCTTGAGCGGTTTTGAGCTTAATATACAATTAAAAATATTACATTGGCAGTTTTATTTATTTATTTATTTATTTATTTTTTCGAGTTCGATGTATTCAATAAACGCTTGTGCGTAACAAAGAAACCGATTATTCACTCGAAAAAGTATCTTCTCAGACGTATATAAAAAGTGCCGCGCGATTCTTTTGGTCGCCATAAATGGTATAAACAGTGATAAGTAGATGTTTGTTTGTTTGTTTGTTTTTTTAGTTTTTTTTTGTTTTTTTTTACGCGAAATCGTATGATCTGCATCATCGCACATAACTATATGCGCGAAATTTCTGTACAAGACTAGGTAGTTGAGAAACTAAATTATTTTTTCGCTTACATTATTCCGCATTTCGCCGAATCTAAGTTTCGAAGAAGTTGTATTTTCCTCTTGTTATATTTTTTCATGGATTTCATGCCCTTTACGAATCTTCTTTGACGCGTTTACTAATTAAATATATATATATATATATGTAGAAATATGGAGTACAAATAATTAATATATATATATTTATATATATATATACATATAAACACATGTGTATGTGTGTACATTAATACAATGATCTTCTTCAGGGACTAAAAATGAAAAACAATTTGCTCTCTTTACTGCCTGCTTACAAAACTTGCATATTTTTTATTTACGTTTATTTGTTTAAGAACAAGAGAGAATTTGATTTTAAATATCATAAAATTTTCTTAGAGATTATACAATTTTCTAACAATAAATTATATTTTATAATTTTTCTCGAATTTTGTTGAAATAATTGTGTATATAAATAATCTATTTCACTTTTAGTCCCGATTACGATGATACATCATCTGGATTGCAACTAAATGATGACAACGGAAGAAATCGGATACACAGTCTCGATAATGAATCAGTTGTCCTGATTTTGTTCCCAAGCTCGAACAGTTTTGTATGTACGGTTCGATTCTCGCGGTCAGGTTTTCGAGATACAGAAAATATGTAACGACCACGTAATACGTAACTCTAAACCTCGTTTGATTTCGCAGTCCAGAATTCAAATATGTAGGAAAGGCGATTAATTTTAGACGGTTTATCTTTCATGGTATTAAAATAATTCAGTTTTTCCGATTCAATAAAAAGATCGATATAAATTATCAAACAATTTCCAACGTTTTGTTTTTTACAAATGATTAAATTATCGCTTCAGTCGAATAAGAGAGTCAGAAGTTATTTATAAAATCGCTTTTGAATCGCAAACCTAAATAGTTGAAAAGATGGATGAAGAAACATATTTTTAAATGCGGTTTTCCAGTCTGAAAATAAAGTATCGATTGTTCTATTTGCAGGACACTTCCACATATAACATCTTTCCACCAAATTACGTGTTACAAGTTTCAAACGTTCTTGAACATCTTTCGAGATTATACGCGCGCGTGTTATATTATATTATATATATATATATATAATTTACTTATTTACGTGAAATTAGATCTTCAAGTTAAGAAGAAAATTATTTTCGCAATTAATTCTTTCATCCATCTTCTCAATTTTTCCAATTACTCAACACTCTTTTATTCATAACAAGAATATATATATATATATTATACGAATCGTTTGGTATCATTCAACTATCGAGAACGAGATCCAAACGATAACAAAAAAAAAACGTGGTTTTTACCTTTTAACACAGAGAAACTTGCAAAAAGATACACGATAAAAGTTCGACATTTACTCCGATCAAAAGTTCGACAAACTTTTTTATTTTTGTTTTTTTTTTTTTTTATTTTTTTAACACACGTTCTACTTAATTTGCTATAACAAGTTTACAACTAATTTCTCGTCAAGAAGCGTGCTGCAATATAAAAGATCCATCCGTCTTCCGCGCGCGACGTTCCTAATCCCATTCACGTTCATAACGCTATCAATTATTAAATTATCTCTCTACGCTACGTATCTTATCGTTATTAATGACTTACGAGTATATATCACTGGTGGCTGTGCGAGTCTTTCCGGAACATAGACTTGAATAACTAAGCGTCGCCCGAGTGTTGTGTACCTTTGTGCTGTGTGTGCCGATCATTTTGCTTCAGAGATATCTTTGCGCAAACGTTAAGGTTGTCTCTTCTCGCGATCAATGGCACAAAATCAACCCAGGTACAAATATACCGAACGAAATTGCTTCCTCTCGATCCATGCCACGTAAATCGACGAATTTCACGTTCTCGCGATGAGAAAAACAAAATGCACAAATCCTTCGAATTGTTACTATGTGTATCAGCGCGAGTTTATATTGTTCTAGACGTTCAGATCGGCCATCATTTTGCGAAAGTCCGCCAGAGTGTTGTAATCCGGATCCGAGTCGATGTCCGCGAAATCCTTGCTGGAGTCGGTCTTGACGAAGCTCGGATTATATCGGCTTAACGACAACGGGCACGGTAATAATTCCGGCATGACCGAGTGGTGTGTGATTAGCGCGGTGAGCGTCGTGAATTCTTTCGTGAAGCCCTGGAACACACAATGTTATCGATTTTTACGAAGCTTCGTGCCGCGGCTAATTTTAGTGCTTTCCGAAATCTACTTTGTCTCTTCTTCGCAGTAATTGTTGCGAGTACTCATAAAATCTTTTTATATTCTAGGTTTCATTTAATACGAAAAAATTAACCGTACAAAAACAAATTTTATATCATATAATTCTTGTGCTCTGTCGCGCACACAAATTTTTAATAACAAAAAGTGTATATTAATCGTTTATTTAAATATCATATTTTAAATAGACGGTGTTAAATATTTATTACGTTTGAAAATTTGCGTTCAACGCAAACATTACATTAAAACAAAATTTTCAAAAAAACATCTTCTAAAATTCTGTTTAATTTATGAGAGTTCAATTACAACGAGAGTTCATTGTTTTCATTGTTATGCGCCTACGTGGTATTATTACACATGTTACAAGCACGCATTGTATAATGGTGAAACCGCATTACCGCGCTAACTAATATTGTGAAATACAATATTAGTTAGCGCGAAGGTCTTTCCCCGCGTATATTTTCAAGCACCACGCGTGGCGAAACGGACCCGATAACGAGGCGGGTATTATAAACGTATCGCGCGCCCGTGTCCTGAGACTGAGGGTTCCGTGTATGTAGGTATCAGAATTATCACACACGGCATTCATTCGAATCTGGGCGCTCTGTGCTGGTTACACGGGGCGCACATATGCAATTCCGCGCGGCCCGGCACGCAGGGACGAGAGAGAAAGCGGAGTTTTGATTTCCCTACGGTATTCGCGGCACATCCAACAAAACTCATTTATACTGGTTTCGGAGATTATCAAAGTACGCGGGACTCATTTAATCTATCCTACACATGGGGAAGTTCGACCATTTAAATACGCGTATCCGAACTGCGCGTACGGCAGCTTTGCAGCGGGCTACTAAAAGCTCCGACCCTCCGCGCGCGCGCTTTTCCCTTACGTACATGTATTTCAACATTAACTCGCACGACAGGTGTTCGCGCTCTCTTTTGCGCGCGCGGATGTCTGTAAAAATATTTCCGAAAAATATCCGCAACACGTTTGATTCCGCGCGAAGACAACGTGTACGCGTGCACAAACAAAAACGCAATTAACTCACATCGCGTTTGTTAAGATAATCGACTTTTTGTCGGAAAAAAAAAAGAAGATAATTAACTTTGCGGTTAAAAGTTGCGGTTTACGTAAATTTCAGATCTCTCTTTATACACTTCACGGCCGATGATGTTTTCGCTGGCCGAAAAGAAATTCCCCCTCGTTGTGAGATGATTTCTTTGTTCTCCGAGTTCCGCGTCTGCAGCTGTGTATACTTTGACGATTTGATGCAATACAAAGAATGCCAAGTGAAGACTTACTTTAATTTTGTAACCTTTGTTTGTACGCATTATGAGATAATGAGCTATTCCGCTCGGCTGAAATTCACGGGGCACACGAAGGGAGAGGGCGTAGCATCCGGGTTTGCTGGTGCTCTCTCGCACCATGAACGCTCCTTCCGGCTCCTGGCTTAACACTTCGAGCGTTATCTCCCTGGAATCACAGTCGTATCGTTAATCACAAATGAGCGGAGTGTCGTTCTTCTGTTTTGTTTTTTTTCGGACAAAAACGGAGAATCGACAAAAATCAGGTTTATACTTCTTCGATATATAGATTATGCTATCGGAAACGCTGAGCTGTGTGTGAACCGGATCGCGCTTGACGAATATTTAAAATTAGCCAGAGGCGACGCGCGGCTAATTTTGGCGCACTTACACACGCGCGCATGAGATCGCGCGCGCACACGTTTCTCAGTCTGGTTCACAACTCCGACATGTGGTAATATGCCGTGTGGTACCAACCTGGGTATTCCAGCTTGAAACCAGGGCGCTTTGCGCAGTTCGGCCTCCTCGCTTCGATTATTCAGGCTGTCTGTCCTCTCGGGTAAAGGCGGCGGGGTTGGCGTGGAGCCATGAGTGCTACCGTCAGCGGGTACCGAGCTGCTCGACGTGCTAATTTGCGATCTTCTTTTCGACTTGAATTCCGCCTCCGTGCCCGAGCCCGGACAATTGTGTCCTATCCTGAAAATGAAAGAGCTGTCGTTTCACTATTCATACGATTCTTTCGCTGATGTTAGAGAAGTAAGAGAAGAATGAGAAGAAATAGGAAGGAGAAAGAGAGAGAGAGAGAGAGCGAGAGTGAAAGGGTGAGAGAGAGATAGGGTGGGATGATTGTAATCCGGCTGGCTCACCTGTTGTTCTCGATGTTGAAGTTCTTCGCGGTTATGGACGCGTTGATGGTGTTGTCGAGGCTCTCGGACGGCGGAATCTTGTTGTATGACGGCCTGGTACCCTCCGAGTCTATGATCGCCTCGTTTATGTAACCCCCGGAATGAGGTCTATTCGATGGACTGGTCGGTGTGCTGCTGCCGCTCACAAGCGGGCAGCTGTCATCCTCACCGTTCAATCCAAGAACGTCGCGTCCACCTGTCAAACCCATCGCCAGTCGCTTTATCAGCGGCGGCTTGTCCGTTAGCCTCTTGTACGAGTTCAACTCCGTCGGTGAGTTGCTCTCATCGCTGCTCGGCGTGCTCTGCTGCGATATGCTCTTCGGTTCGTCCTCGTTCGTTATAGGACCGAGAACGTTCGTGAACGACGGTCGCAAGCCGGGGATCGTGTTCGGCGCCTGAAAAATCCAAACTCGATTTTGTCAAATCCGAAACGACAAACGATCCGCAATAGAAAAAACTTGTTTTAGTTTCGTTTTAATCGGAACGTGTTTCAGAATTTAATTTGTGGTGCACGATTTTCGTGTGTTACGCGAAAGTGAATCAACTCTTTGCAATTCAACGTCGGCGTGTTCTAAAAAACGCGGAATTTTCGAAGAGTCGCGCGCGATATAACAATTTATATATTTTTGAGATTTTACGCAAAATTACAAGAAATATGAGAGAAAAAAATTAGAATAAGGTAAGTAATTCGTTGAAAGTAGTTTGAATCGTAAAAGAGATTAAGTAAGGCGTTACATAAAACTTGCAAGATAATTTTCTCTCTAAACTACTGTCCAGCGGAGTTGATTGATTTTCGCGCAACACCGTTCAGACGTGAGTCGCGCACTCGATATATGAATTCACCTTTACGCTTGCGAGTCGCAGCGTAGGCGAGCCGGCGCTGCCAAGCTGCACGTTCATGTCCGAACCCCTTCCAGTCCTGAAGGTGGGCGATGTTCGACTTTTCAGCCAAGAGTTCGACGACGGGCTCCTGCAAGCGCCCGCGGCGATCGTGTCGTCTCCGGATAACGATTTGTTCTGCAAAGCGAAACGTCGGTCATTGCTGATGTTACATCATCTATTTGACGACTATTTTCTTTCGATTACATCCTGTCGGACGCAACATTCTTTTCTGCGTATCAACGCGTCTTTAAACGGATCCGAAGACGTTCCATTCCAATGGGATCGTTAATTTACCGAGAGACCGTTAAACCGCGCGCGTACCGTACGAGTATACGTCCCTTTCTCTCTCTCTCTCTTTCTCTTTCTCGCTTGTAGGTTTCTCTCGAATAAATATTTGATCGACGGAGAATCTCACGGTTCCCAAAACGATTTTGCGGCAAAGAGACTACCGGGCGGATCGTGGCGCACTGACCGTTTTACTTGGATACGCGACGACGACGAGACGCGAGGCGGCAAGCGAGAGAGACTCGGGTCGAATTTATAATTAACACGGCCCGTAAACGGGACACCTACTGGAGTCGGTGGCCCTCGTGAGACCACGTCGAGAGGACATGCTCGTAGTCGTTGTCCCTTTCGTCTTGCGCGTTTGGATATTTAAGAAGCTCTTCCGCGCGTCGTTCCAGCCGCTTCTTCCTTCACGTTACATGGAAGTGTACGGTGTACAGAGGCTACTCTGATAGTCCGTGAAACACATCGTGTTGCAACCGAAGGAAAAATTCAGCAACTCGACTTGAATAAACAGTTCTAGTGATTTCGATGTATCGAGCAATGCCGTGTCGTCGGGAGAAAAATTTACGAAAATTGACGTCATCGCGTTTATAATACAACAAACAATGCGACCGTATTGTGACTTCTAAAAAAGATTGAAATGCGCGCGTCTTTTTCGAAATCTCTCAAATTCAATGTGTCTTTATTTCCTCGCTGCGAAATATATATACATATATATAATTCAACCGACGTAATACTTTGAGAAGGTCTGAGATCTTCGTCCCGCTAATTGTTGAAACTACTTAATTGCAATCTACGACGCAATCTATGCTTTTGTGAGATAACTACCAGATGGCAACAATATTTCCGGCTTGCGAAGTTGAGTCTCTAAAGTTTGACTTCGCTAACTTGTAACAGTACGAACGGTGACAAAAACAGATTGCTTCATTAGCACTTTGAACTGCAATGTTTTTTTTAGTAGTCACCTTTTTTTAGTGATATTACTTGCGCGCCATGATAAAAAAACTACTTTCTTGCGCTTTAAAATGTGGATTTTGTTTTTCAATTAGTTGCGGCGGTTGATTGACTATTACTTCGATCGTTTGTTTTAACGGGAACGTACCCACGACGTTCGATGCTCCTGCTTGTCTTTGCGATAAGATGGCGTCGTTCGCGGCGAGATTACATCCTGAAGGATTGGCTGGCGCTGAAGCTGCGCCACGTACGCCATGCGGAAAGCATTGCCAACGATGGTATTCAGCTCCTCCGCCTGCAATAGACGAAGAAATCTAAATTTTTTAATTGTATTTAATCCAAGAAAAAGAATTTCTTTCTCATTACTGTAATTTAACCCGTGACTGTGATTTTCTACCATAATTATTAATTTCAGTCGAGATCTCCTGAAATTCACGTTCCGCGCGGTAAGTCTACATAATTGATAAGTTTCGGAAAACTGTCTTGGGAGTGTTTCAAGATGTTTTAATTACTTAAGGTGCCTTATTTTAGTCCCTGTTTAAAATTAAAATATGTATTTTATGTATTTTATATTACAATTAAATTCACATCTAATTTAATATATTTGACAATTTTCACTCTAATCCTGTAAACGCGTTTTTTTTTTATTCAACATTCTATTAAAGAAATAACATTAGTTTTGATGTATTTTTTATTTGTTAGAAATTTTCTCTTAAATAGTTAATAAGATTTTCGAGAGAATCGCTCGGACATTAAATTTACAGAATTAAGCTTTACAGAATTAGGGTGAAAATTATAATTATGTTTTCAACTTCCGCAAAGAACATTTCTGCAGAAACGTAGATATACAATTACAATCTGTTAATTAACATAGCACAAAATGATGAAAAAACGCATACACGTTATTTAAGTGCGCAACATCGCCAGATGCGAAAAGATAAATAAATATTTTAAAACGCGCTGCATAAAAACAGTGTTTTTTCCATCGTGCCAATTAGATTTTTTCAGATTCTCCAGTGGCAAAGGAAAAAACCGACTGGTCCAACTGATGAGCAGACGGCGCTATGCAGCAGCAACGCAAACGCGGTGTCTGAATGTGTAATAAGCACTCGCGGGAAGCCGCAAGCCTTGGCTCGGCCTCGCTCATATGTGCGTTTCAGAAAGCTCCCGCCTGCTGCATACGTTTTCGCATTTGCGCTCGATCCAAATACACAGATGGATCGTGCGGACGCACGTGTGTGGTCCGCGCGCGGGCGCGCGCGCGCGCACACACACGTGACGAGCGGGATATACGGCCGGGAAATGGGAAAAAGGCCGGCGGTGCGGGGGGTGGTGCGGAAAGGCTCTTCCTCTTTCCCCAAAAGCTCCTGTGAAAGCCGCGACGCGGTGCGTATTAATGCACGCCGGTCGAGCGAGCGACGCCGAGGGGGGGCCAAAGGTCTAAGAGGAGAGCATTGTGCGGACGCAGAAACGGACGAGAGCAGCGATTAACGTCTCTCGTCCGCGTCTCTAACTTTTCCTTTCACGGCGCGTACATACGTGCATACATACATACGTACGTACATACGTACGTACGTTCGTACGTACTACAGCGCGTACTACGCGGCGCGCGGAGCTAGATGGATCCGTCAGGGGAGATATTCAATCGTCTCGCGTCGTCGAGTAGGTACGTGCGTCTCGAATTCTAGCTCGTATTCTTCGTCCGTATGGCACCGTACTCGTTCTGTATATCCAGCCCCGTGACATTGTTAGCGCATTGTTGCAAGCGGCGCGGAAATCTTTCTGGATCTCGCCTCGCGAGAGTCTTGAAGGAAATATACCTCGCAGAATCCGCTCGAGGTGAAAACGCAAACGAGAGATAGGATTGTGAAACCGATCCTCATAGCGATGTGTTTTCCAATAATGCCGCGCGTATCGGGAACTCGCCTCGCGAGTTTCTCTTGCGTGAAGAGATTCCTTCGTCGCGACGTCGCCCGTGCGACGAAGACATTGACATTTAAGCTGCTCGTCGTTTAACTGCGTTTCGAAAGAGGCGAAAGGTTCGCGCACGATCTAAAGGGATGTAATGCATTTTTAATGACGCGCGTTCGTGCAAGACAACGATCCCGGTTCCGAGCCTCTTATATTAAAACGCGCGGCCGCGCGCTTGCACGAATAATTTCATGGTTTGCGGTTTGAGGTCAGGTCGAATAATTCCACTAGGAACAAGATATTTCAATTACGTTTGCACGCGCAGCAAGGCAATGACTTGAGCTATAATTGCGGACGAGCCGCTCCGCGCAACTTGCTAAGTCCTATTCGAACAACCCTCCGCGCGTACAAATCGCCATTTACCCGCACCCGTGAGTTCTTTCTTCCCCGCTGCCGCTCACTCGGGTTTATAGTTTCAACGAGATTACAGCTGTGGGGTTGGATTTTAGTTTGGGAGCGAACAGAATAGAATATGTCAGAGCTTCAAAATATATTGGAGGACACTTTTAACTTTATTTATTTTTTTTGGGGGGGGGAATAGAGAGTTAAATTCTTTTTCGAGGAAGCAAATTGCAGTTTCTCTTGATACCATGTTTCTGCTTCCGCAAACTCGCTGTCTAAAGATTTAAATAGAATTTTTGTGTAATTATATAAAATTGTGCTACGTTTAAAAAATACACAGTAGGATTTATACGCTTTTTTTATTTTTTTCATTAACTTCTATTATATGTCACGAAACAACAGATATCGTCAATGAGGGCTACAGCGCAGTTCGAGAGAGCATTCTTTGGCGTGGGAAAATCAGGGAGACTAATTTATTGCAGGAGGGAGAACCATCGCGCGTTTCTCCCATCAACGCTATGTTTCACGAAAACGTGAAAGAGAACGTTCCGGGCGCGGAGGTAACTCGTTCACGGCGGGCAAAGGATCGTGTCATAGGGGAAAATTTATCGTCACTGTGGGCGGAACCCATGCGGGGTCGTGACTGGGTCCCTTAACTTCGACCCTCCTGGCCGACAATCGAAAATACGGCCCTGAGATTCCCGCCCCGAGGTGGAATTTAAGCGCGATGAAATCATCACCGGCGACTCTCTCTCTCTCTCTCTCTCTTTCTCTCTTCCTCTTCTTCTCTCTTCTGTCTCTTCCTCTCCCTCTTTGTGTCCTGTCCTGGACGTTGACTCGAGCAGGCACTGACCCTCTTCACTGCGTTTCGATTCAGGTCCGTGTGATCGATCGATCACTCCGCTGTGTTGCGTAAATCAAAGTGGCGCTAAATTTTCAAGTCTCGGGAATCGAAGTTTCTTGGTTCGACGCGAATCGAATTATTCACCACCGAGTCGATTTCGCATAAAAAATTCTTACAATGTATTCTGAGAACCTTCTTTTAAGTTCTTATTTTAAATCGTTGATACTTTTGGACAAAAATTCAATTAGAGGATACCAAAAAAAAAAATTTATCGAGTCAAAGAATCAAAATCTCGCGTAACGGAATGTTGGACGGACTTTGAAAAGGAATTGCGATGTCGGAAGAGCTATTTAGTTCGCCTTTAGTTCATCCCGATTCGTCATTCGGTGGCTTTGGCAAAAAGAGCAGGAGACACGAGAATCGAATGGGTAGAGGACCGAAAGGACGATGGATCGCGCCGTGGCTTTGCGCGCCGGTGCAGCGTGACGGGCTACATTCCAGACATTCCGCGCGGTCACGGCCATATCTCCAGCTCCTCTAGATTTCCCGTCCCCGTGCATCCGGGCTCCACCAACACCATCATCGCGTGGTAGTCGTGGTACTCGCAATGATGGCCTCTCCGATGAGAGTGGGGATGGCTCCTGTCACACTTCTGAATTTCCCGTCGCTTCGGTTTCTGGTTTACCTCGACGAGACTGGCTCGACGGCCCCGAATAAACGGCCGGAGGGGATAGGGAGGGAGGAAAAGTTCTCGAGGACATATTCTCGACGACCGTCATTATTGCAACGCGAATATATATATATAGTCGCCAATAATTACGATATCGTCGTCCTATTATATGCGACAAGAATTTTTCTGAAAGGTGCGCGCGAAGTAGACCGAGAAAGTATTGAATAGCAGTTCGCGGTCCGGCTGAGATAATCCAGACCGAGAGGAAGTGATTCGAAAAAAAGTCAAATCCAGTTACGTCGTTCACAAATGTTAACAGAAGCTTAACTGATTCTCCTGTCGGCTCGGAGCTCCGGGTGTGTGCGGAGAGAAAATGAAATCACGTATACTCAAGACCGTCAAGTCGGAACGATTGACGAATCGAGGCTAAAACGCACGAACAGGATCCGCCCTCGGCGTCACGGGCTTCTGCTCTTGACGGGCACGGGTAGTTCGAATGTCAAATATCCCCGATATCTCAAGCTGTACCGTTACGCGCCGTCATCATATCGGTACGATCTGATTCGTGCGTATGTCACCGCAGCAAAATAATTGTTACAACTTGTTCGCGACTACGTTATTCAATGTATGACGGAATTCATTCTTCCAAAGATTGAAGATCGATTCGCCGGAAAAAAAGAACGTCGTTTTCATTCCGAAAAGAATAAAATTCAAAGTTGCACAAACGGATATGCTATACTGTATCTTCTTTTAAAATTGCGTTCGTGAACGGTTAGAAGTGTGCGATCGCATAAAAAGGAAATTATCATTCGAATGGCGGGTTGTGAGAAGAGCGGAAAGCGATAATTAGCGTGGATAACGTCGGTCGTAAATAGCGCTCCGCGCTTTTTGGACACTCGGCGAGAAAGCCGGAAATGAGGAGGCCGCGCTGGCGAGTCCGGTTGGCGTGTAACGCCGGAATATCGTTTGACCGTGTAGCGAGTACTTTGTTCGGCGTAACGTGAAATCGGTCGAAGATTGGATCGACCATAGTTAGAGGGATGCATCGGTCAGAGAGCGCAGATGAAGCACAGCCGTTGCGCAATCTAGCTCTTTGATCAGCAATTAACGCCACGACTGGAACACGCCTTGCCGCTCCATATGTTTCATATCTATAACCGCTGCGACGCCAGAGTATATATATTATTACTAACATGGCTGCCCCTTTGGTCTTCGTTGTGCGAGGACCGAAAATACACTCGGTTATCTTTAGAAGCATTTAAGTTTGAAGGGCACGCAACTTGCTCTTTAAAAAATTAATCATGAGTTTTAATTCAGCGCTCAAGTAGAGTTTTGCGTTTTCTCTCGCGGTTTCTAAAAAGTGTCGTCAATTTTAGATCTAAAATTGCGCGAATTTTATTATTACGCGAATATTTCTCAATGATGAAAGATCAGATCGAGGATTAAAAAAATCTCACGAGCAATGCAT